TACCCAAATACTTACTATACTAACCTTACTCTAACAAACTTTATTCTATCCAGCCACTTGCATGCAGAATCCCGTAACAAACTCTCACTCACACTCATTACCCTTTAGTACTCTTTTTACGACCCCTCGACTTATAGACCATACTAACGGGAGGTGGTCTATCAATACCCCCCCTAGGAGAGCAACCTTATCCTCAAGGTGGAATTGAGAGAATTGTATGTTGATGACGTCGAAAGACTCCCATGTAGCTTCACAGCAAGGCAGATCCTTCCATTGAATGAGGACCTCTTTGGTGCCATCGAATAGGGACTACACTGCTAGGACTGATTGTGGGTAAACCTGAAGTTCCATATCTTCGGTGAGAAAAGTGGGAAGTGGCTGAACTGGAACGGAGTTGTGTAGGCTGCGTTTGAGCTGAGTGGATGAATACGAGTAGTGGAGGGTAGAGCCAGTTTGAAAGCTATCAGACCAATTTTGTCCACTACCTCAAATGGCCCATAAAACCGAGGACTGAGTTTCTCATTCAATTTCCTGGCTAACGATCTAAACCTGTAGGGCTGAAGTTTGAGGTAAACAAAATCTCCCGGAGAGAAGCTGATATCTCTGCAATGTTTATCAGCCTGCTCTTTCATGTGTCCTTGAGTAGATTCCAAGTGATGTTTAAGTTCATCTATGATGGCACTGAGGTGAAGGAGCTGTTGGTTCACGTCTTCAACTGAGGAGGGGTAATCGGTCAACTTGAGAAGGAGTGCTGAGTCTCTACCATAAAGGGCCTTGAAGGGCGTCATTTTAGTGGACCGATGGTACATTGTGTTGTACCAAAATTTCGCCCAAGAAAGCCAATTTGGCCACTGTTTAGGCTAGGAACTGCAGAAACATCTCAAATATGCCTCTAAACACCGATTGACCACTTCGGTTTGACCATCTGTTTGTGGGTGATATGCAGAATTGAACTTGAGAGAAGTCTTCGCTGCTTTGAAGATTTCCTACCAAAATTGGCTCATAAAGAGTCGATCTCGGTCTGAAACTATAGACTTGGGAAATCCATGGAGCTAAACAATTTCCTTCATGAATGTCGTAGCAACCTCCTTCGCACTAAAAAGGTGAGACAAGAGGATAAAGCGTTTGTATTTGGTGAGCCGATCAACCACCACGAGAATACTATCGAACCCCTTGGCTCGTGGTAAACCTCCAATAAAATCCATCGTCAAGTCGTCAAAGACTTTCTCAAGTATAGGCAAAGGCTGTAAAACCCCGGCTGGCTTGAGGGCTGAATACTTATTGACTTGGCAAATAATGTAGGTCTTTACAAACTCTTGAACATCTTGCCTTATCCCTTCCTAATAAACAATGTTTGCCACTTGTTTGTAAGTCTTGAAAAACCCCGAATGCCCTCCACCTGGGCTAGAATGAAATTCTACCAATTAAAAATAGCATTCATTAGGGCTTGAAAAATTGATGGCGCATTAGTCAGGCCAAATGACATAACTAGGAACTCATAGTGACCGTCATGAGTTTGGAAGGCCGTTTTGTGAATATCCTCCTCCTTCAATCAAATCTGGTGGTATCCAGATCGTAAATCAATCTTTGAAAAAAAAAAAAACAGCCCCAACTAATTCATCTAACAACTCCTCGATAGTGGGTATGGGGAACTTATCAGGGATAATTATCTCATTGAGTGCCCTATAATCAACACAAAACCTTCAACTCCCATCTTTCTTCTTGAATAGTAACACTGGGCTAGCAAAAAAGTTGGTCTAGGCTGAATGATCCCTGCTACCAACATTTCTCCCACCATATTCTCTATTTCATTTTTCTGGAAATAAGGATATCTATAGGGCCGTATATTGGGTGGTCGAGCTCCCTCTTGTAGGACTATGGCATGGTCATGCTGTCTGTGTGGGGGTAGTTTAGTGGGTTGGTCAAACAATTGGATATACCCTTCCATCAATGATACAATCCTAGGGTCGGTGGGCTCTCCGTTTTGTTCTGGCACACATTCAGTAGAGAAAAATTCGACTAAATAGCCTCCTTCGGTGGAATATAGTGACCATAATATGGCTTTTAGAGACACCACCGTCTTAACCAGGGATGGATCTCGCTGTAGGCTCACCCTTCTGCCTCCCAACTCAAATTTCATTGTTAGGTTCTTCCAATTTGCGCAGACATCTCCCAATGAACTCAACCACGTCACCCCTAACACCACATCAGCTCCCCCCAAAGCAAAAGGGAAAAAATCTTTGGTAATCTTAATGCCTTAGACCTCCAGTTGCACTCCCCTACAAACACCTTCTCCTCTCACCGTGACACCATTACCTACCATCACCCCAAACCTTTTTCCTTTTTCAATTCGCATGCCCAGTTTGCACACCAAGTCGTGTGAAATAAAATTGTGGGATGCCCCACTGTCAACCAACACAATAACCCCCACCCCCTTCAATCTCTCCCTTAATTTTCAGAGTCTTGTTAGAGGTGATTCCGACGATAGAGTTCATGGACAAAGCTAGAGGGTTACCTTTAGTAGTGGGTTCTTCATCATTGTCTGGTGGTGTTTCACCCTTCTCTAGATCATCATCTTCCCATGCCAACAAGATCTGCAGAGATTTGTCCCTACATCGGCGGTTAGGGCTGAACTTTTCATCACACCTAAAACAAAGCCCCTTCTCCTTTCTAAGTTGAATTTCCGCTTCAGTTAACCTTCGGAAATTTTCCCCTCTGGAGCTCCAAGTTGTCATCGCCGATGGAATATCCCTTCTGTTGGTAGAACGATTTGACGAAGAATGGGTCTCGCCTGAAATTTTAGTAGTATTGGACCACCAACCGGGTCACCCAACCTCTGGGCTTGGAGAGACCCGTGAGTACCCTTCAATTTTTACATGATGGGCTTTAGTCCTTTTGGGCCTAATTTTATCCAGCACCCAGTTTTTTTCTTTAACTCGATGGGCCTGTTCCATCACTTCACCTAGATCTTTGGATTGTATGAGATGCAATTCAGCTCTGATTTCTTCCTTCAATCCATTGACGAAGATGCCCATTAGCATCTCTTCTCCCAATTTCTTCAATGGAGCTGTATGTGCTTCAAACTCTTCGCGATACTCCGTCACCGATAAAGTTTGTCTCAGTGCTACCAGTGCCTCATTAGCTGTCCCTTGAAAAGATGGTCTGAATCTAGCAATTAAGGCGGCTTTGAAATCCTTCCAATTCTGGACAGGTCTTCGAGATTCAAGCCATTGATACTAGTTTAAGGCTCTTCCTTCCATGCACATGGCGACGACCTCCACCATCTTCGTTTCTTCGTATCGATTAATGGCGAAATATCTGTCAGCCTTGAAAGTCCAACCAAAAGGATCATCTCCGTTAAAAATAGGTTGCTTAAGTTTGAGAATTTTTTTGTCGTCCTTCCTGTTATCCCTACTATGATTTCGTTCATATCCCTTATCTCCGTCGGAACTCTAATTGTCTGGAGTTACAGACATTTTCTCCTTCTCCTGATAACGTTTATCCTCCTTTTCCTCCCTTAATCGCATCAATTCTCGCATCTCAGTTAAGTACTCCTTGACGCTACCTAGGTCGATCTTCATCATACCCATATTTCCATCACAGTTCTCATTTCCTTTTCCACATTTTCCATTCTGTTCTCCATTTTGGATTTTACCATTACCCAACCTAGCTCTGATACCAAGTTGATGGAACCACCTGTTCAATTAACTCAATCCAACCACAAAACACAAGAGCAGAAATGAAAGTAACACACAACCTGATAAAACTGAATGTTATTACAGTATATTGAAAGAAATAGCAACATCAAGAAAGAGTGACCACAGATCAATCCCCAACAATTCAAGGAGCTGGGAGCCTCCCAAAATACCTATAAGAATTTACTTGATGCCTCCTTTACCACTCTCTAACTATTTATACCCAAATACTTACTATACTAACCTTACTCTAACAAACTTTATTCTATCCAGCCACTTGCATGCAAAATCCCGTAACAAACTATCACTCACACTCACACTCAATATCCCTTAGTACTCTTTTTATGACCCCTCAACTTATCAACCATATTAAAAGGAGGTGGTCTATCATAATCCTTCACTTTGCACATTGAATCAAATCAAAAGCTACACAACAAAGCTCTTATCTACTCATTGAATTAAAACCTAAATTCTCTAAACATTTTGGAATTTACTCATCAACCGACAAGCTCAAATCCACTAACAATTCCAAAAAAATACCAAATTAAAAATTTTAAAACCCCATTTGAATTAATCAGATTTGGAAGTGTTTGAATAAACCCAAATGAGATTTTTAAGCTTTAATTGATTCAAATCATGAAAATGTCAAAAACCAATAAAGAATTTAAGGTTTGGAAGCTAAGAAATAAACAAATAAACTACAATAAATAGAACTGGATGTCGCTCCTTGACACAACCATCATATCCTCCAATAAAATTAAGATAACAACAGAATCTTCTGGGATACAAAACTTCCCCAATAGAAACCATACCTTACGATTCTTCAACTTCAAACCCATATCCATCGACTTCTTCTGGAGTATTTTTATGTCTAAACTTATAGACCCAACTTCAGACTGAAACAAAATTTCTAAAAATGTTACTACTCCTGATCATACAAGATCCAATTAAAACAAAGAACAACTCAATAAACACAGTAAAATGAGGTGGCTCTCCCTTTGAAATAATAATAATTGTAATAACTGTTGGATATGTTTTATACTTTGCATGGGCTTGAAGTCCCCTATGCAGATGCATTCGAGGGTCCCACTCCTAGGTGAGTGGATGGCGGTCCTGCTCGCCAGTGAGCAGGCGAGGGTAAAATTCTCCAAAAAGTACCTTGCAAGATCTCCACCTTTGTGCATATGAAAATTTTGTAATAGCCAGCATGAAGAATCATAGTTCTCACCTTTAGTACAGCAATTGTCATGTCGTAGTTATTTATCATAAACACTCTGTAATTTTGGTCTTGGGAACATTTTTGTGAGCTTCATAAGCAATTCATCTACAGCCATTCTCAACCGTTCCATATTCAATTCAAGCTGCAGATACAGAAGGCTGCATATTTAAGTACTCTTATTGAAACAGTCAAACAAAATAACAATTTATGAGTTCAGTTTTTCAAAAGCATATCACCTGGCCATCTCCATATTCAACATTGAGGTGAATAAGAGAAGCTGTAAGTTCAGCATAACGCCTCATTACATAATTAGGATGAATATCATCTTCCCACAATGTCCTCACATTTGCATTACACAAACTACCAAGATGCAAGTCAAAAACCATCTTAAAACGAGGCCACAGGGAAATATTGACCTGCTCAGATTCAGTAAAAAAGATAGTCTATGTTGGGATAACTTTTGCCTGCAAAGTACAGAAGATAACAGACTTTGTCTAAATATGAATCCAAGCATGGGATCCGACGCCAAGACATGATGAGTTGAAACAGAAAATGAAAAAGAATAAAGAACATCAGAGGCAAGTTCAAATTGTAATTGCAAAGACAACTCTGCTAGCTCTCTCTTAAAAGTGCAAATTTGAAAAAAGACACTGCAAAAATTATGCGGAGAGACTTTAACAGTTTGAAAGTAGGACTTTTTAAAAGACTCTTAACATATGAACACTGCAATAACAAGAGCTAGTAACATCACCTGGTGCTAGTGGATTATGCGGATCATAAGCATTAACCCAATAGCATCATAACAATTTGGTAGTATTGAGTTGAAGTGCTCATAAATGACTGCAAATGGACCTGATAATATCAAAGATAACATGAGAAGTTCTTATAATGTCTCATATTCAAAAATATGATATTTATCCAAAACAGTATGTCCTCTATTTCCACTCTATAAGGCAGAGATTATTTCCTCAGTCCATCAAGTCAAATAAATGATTTACAACTTCAAGATTATTGGAAAAACTCTTATGTGCGTGACAATGTACATTTATTAAATGCATTTTGTTTATACCCAGAAATCCCTCAACTTTACCCTGCATGGGCACTGAAATCTAAACTGAAGGCTACTTCCCAACGCTGAAACCTTGTTAGCCAGAAAACAAGTGGGATATAATATACCAAGTAGGTGGCCCCAAAGGGATTTAAATCCTTGACCTGTTTGGTTACACTTAAGGGATTTCACCACTATGCCCAACCATTGGGTTTTTTAATAAATGCAAATAACAATCCTATTGTTACCATTGATTATCAAAGGCAAATAAGTCAGTATCAGTTGCATGTCAAAAATGCTGTTCTCTCTCTTCTGCTTTTTATTTGTTATAATTATTATTTTTTTTTTTTTTTTTTTTTTTTGGCATACTAGACATGTTCTTAGGTTGGGCCCCTTCTGGTGCATATCTTGACCTTATTATTTATAAAATTTTACCAACGAAAATTTCATAAAATATAGATTCTACCCGAAGAAATCATCACAGAAAAGATACCTGCAAATTAGAGAACAAAAGAGTCAAAAACTATACAACAGACTTGACATTCACTTACATCGAGAAAACAAAATCAAGGAGAAGAGCAAAAAGGCACTCAAAAGTTGCAGTATCCATAAGCAGCTTGTGTAAACTCCGGAAAAGGACCTCATAAGGATACTTTAAGGAGCTGGCTTCAGATATATGTGGAATCAATGAAAGTTGATCAATTTCCTGAAACCAAAAAAAAATTCAAACCATGGAACCTCGTTTGCCAGCAAATAATGATAGACTTCATAAATAGTGAAACATTTCTTTCATACATAGGAGACATATCCCACACATCACTTTTCTTCCTTCATTCTTTTTTTCTTACTTTCTTTCTTTCTTTTTTTTTTTTTTTTTTTTTAAGCACATAGCCTAGATATCATCATTTCACATCTCTTTACAAAACTATCATCTTTCATAGATATAACAAATTATAAATTTAGCGACAGTTTAAGAAAAAAACAAATAGTTTAATACATGTATCTAATTATAAGGTGGGGAAAGGGGAGAAGCAAGAGTTTGAAAACAGACTTCTATGACTGCAAGCACACCCAGAAAAGTAGGAAACAGAAACGACTATGAAATAGTAGGGAAAAAAAATCTGAAGAGAGCCTATTTTCAACAATATTCCAATTCTCATGCACACAGCAAGATTCTAACCTAACCTAATGCCAACTAAAATCTAAAAATAGCAAAAAGTAATTAACACAAGTTTACAACATAATTCAAATTCTTTATCTTATCAGACTCCACATTTTTTTGCGTATGTGAAAAATAAGCCCAGATTTCCTTTACGATATTGTCTTTGGTATTTACTTTACCAAAGCAACAAATACAAGAAAGAATATGTTATAGCAAGCATTCTATGTTTCTATATTGGTCCGATTGAGGAGATTTAGATTCACTATAATCAAAACATAAAAATTTAAATAAGACTGCAACGAAACAAAACCTAACAAAGACAGCCCATCCAATAAATTGGAATAAGAATCATAAGTGTATATTTTCTGAAATATTCCCAAGAAAAAGCTAAGGCAAAACAATCAGTGAACAAAGATCACAACTAACATTTGATTTACGATGCGATCAAGTGAGAAACTAAACATATAATCCATAATATCAGGGCAAAGAATATTTCACAGTGAGTTAAATAAAATTGAACCTTTAAAATGTTGATCCTATCCCCCAGAGCAAAAACAGCAGAACGACTCCTCAGTGGTTCTCTTCATCTTGAAAAAAGACTAGTGCTTCTAGTCTCTACACCAATAAAATCACTATATGTTGCCATATCTAACTGGAGTTTCTCCAACACTTGTATATAAACACGGAAATGTGCACTTAAAACCTGCAATTGGAACAGCAAAGTATCAATATATGCAAGAATATTCTTACACTAGAATTTATAAGAATCATCCTAATCTTTTCACCTGTTAAAATGTAATAATCTTATCATATGCACATAGCAATTAAAGAAGCATGGGTGTAATAAATGTAGAACAACATATGCATATCTTTCAAGAAGTGATAAACTAAATAACAGTCACATTAAAAGTGATCTGGTACATAAAATCTTAGCACTATAATATATGCAGCACAACCCTTAACACAGAAATTCATAATAGACTCACCACCCTGTACTTCCAAAGTAGAGATAGGTACTCAGCAAAACTTATGTGGCACATTATTTGATACAGTGAATCAAAACAACAGTCATATTAATTGCACTAATAAATATATTTCTATATCCAGCTGCAACATGGCTACCTACTTAATCCATAATCTTAAAAAAAATCTTAGCTTTTGAAGTTAACAACACAAGATGAAGTTACCAAATAGCCATCCAAACATTCCACAAACTAAAATGAATCCAACTTTACTTTGCTTAAGCTCGTCCTTAATAGGTCCACCACAAATCAAAGCACAGTCTGAGCTAATTTACTCTAAAAATGAGCTTCAAGTAATACCTTTTTATAGTCGATAGTTTGCCTAGAAAAAAATCCTAACAAGGAAGGCTTGTTAACCACTAAGAACCAGCAACCATGGCAAAAAGGTCAAACAAAAAGTTGAGCCCAGAAGCCTTAAGTAAAGGTATTAATATTTTAAACAAGAGCAAAAAGAACAAGCACAAAACATACAGGTCGTCAGCAGTGTCAATTATCTAAAAGAACATCATCCAAAAGTCTAAAGTTTTTGAGCAATAATTTTGAAGATATATGATAAGAACCCACTCCAATAACTCAACAATTGGGTTGGGCCATAGGTCTTTCATGGGCTTAGGTAGAACTCTCCTTGGAAAACTGGCTTGCTAAGGGAGAGTCCCAAGCCCTTATAAATCACATGCCCACCCCTTTTTCCTCTCAATGTGGGAACCTAACATACCACCACGCTTCAGCAGTCGACGTCCACATCGACCTCTTTACCCCCGTCGGCCTCTTTACCCATTGGGTGACTACGCGGATCCCCCTTCCCTCATGCCTCCATGCCCTTTCTAGGGGTCGTAGCCCAGGCCTAAGGTCAACTTGCCACGTATGCGACATCCACATGGGTACAGGATCATGCTCTGATACCATTTGATAGGAACCCACTCTAATAACTCAACAATTGGGTCGGGCCATGAGTGTTGCATGGGCTTGGATAGAACTCTCCTTAGAAAACCGGCTTGCCAAGGGAGGGTGCCTAACCCCTTATAAACTACATGCCCACCCTTGTTCCCTCTCAATATAGGATCCTAACAATATATAATGAACTAACTCTTCATTCAAGAAAGATATTCCGAAATTGTATATTCAGCTGACCCAATTAAAAAATGTGGTAGTTTTGGTAAGTGCCAAAAAGATTAAAAGAAGTACCTAGTTAAGACAAGGTCACTAAAATTTTAGGGTCCCAAGTCAAGTTTTGCGATTAAATTGTCTTCGAAGTTTGCTAGCTTGGTACAAAATACACTTCCACATATTTTAAGAGAAAAATTGAATGCTAAAACTTCCACAGCAAGAAAGGTTGAGTTCTCCCAACCAATTCGCTACTTATTAAAATTTTTAGTGGCCATACAGACATGAAAATTATTGATAGGTATGATGAGAATTACTAAGCAGAATACTATTGTTACTATTAAAATCTTCATAACGTTTTGAAACAAATGCTCCCCGTAGGGTGCAATCCTTTCCCAGAGAGAGGAGAAAAAAAAAAATTAATACAAATTACCTGATTCATTAAAAAAAAAAAAGAATAGAAGGTAAAGGGAAAATTTTAAAAAAAGTATAAAACAAGGAACGATTTTAAAGTTAACATATGAAAGAGAAGAAGGCCCTAATAATCCACACAATAATAAAAATCTAAAGGTTGCAATCATGACAAAATTGTATTTCAAATGCATGATAAGTTCTAAAGCAATCACCTTGTTCATTGTGTCAATATATACAGCACGAACCTCATTAAAAACCTCCTTGCCATGTTCCTTAAGAAAAGAAATAACTTACCTACATTGTCAAGTTTTTTTCATCAAATTATGGTGAAAAGAGTGAAATTATGAGTAGATGAAAAAATTAAAGGCTCAAAATGAATCGTGACACTTTTTTACTGACAATTTAATAACACTAGGAACCAACTTCTCAGGGACAAAGAACCATGAAACAGTGATGCAATACGTAAAATAACCTAAATGATTTAAAAAAAATCAAACTACTAATAGCATCCAACTTAAATCAGTAGCTAATGATATTACATAAATCAGATGTCATACAAACTAAAACTGTTCAGTTATGATAAACTCCAATAATGCTTCTAATTACAAAGTTGAAACAAGATATTGAAAAAAGATCAAACACAAGACCAAAAAGAAATATGTGCCATGTAGATAGCTCACTTGAATTTAAGAAGAACATTCTGCTGAAGGATCTGAATGTTTGTTTTGGGTTTTCTCAATGCATAAAGCTTCTGGACAATGAAGTCAAAAACCTGCAAAACGATGAAGATAGTCACAATGAATTCTTGTGCCCTTGTTAGCAGACAAAGGTTCACTGCACGGTCATTTGACATCATTTACTTCCCTATTCAAAACTATCATCATTGTTTTCATAAGAGAAGTCATAATTCTAAACCAAGCTCGGGTGAACACCTGGGAACACCATTTAACTACTTTTGAAACTGCTTTCTACCTCAGTTTTTCAAGCTCCGGCTAAACATCTTTAAGGGCTTTTAAAGTTTTAACCATAAGATCCACTTCAACAAATTTCAGCTTCTTACTTAAGATCTCAAGTGTTCTCATATACTCGTCGTTGACCTAAATGAAAATTCCACTGAAAATATGTTAGTATGATGAAGGAAAGGAAAACCAGTAGCTTCCACATTAAATAGGATAACAAAGCAACATTTATGGTGAACAAGGAAATACTTGAGGACATATATGTGTGTGTATCCATGTATAAGGTGAAATTATGGAATTTGACCAATCATAAGTTACGATTTAAGAAATGAACTAAAAGGAACAAGTGAAGTCCAGATCTTTCAATAAATATGATGTAAGCTCTATGGGCCAGGGCACTTCAAAGAAGAAAGAAGACTAAACAGACCAAAGGAGTATATAAAATATTTTATATCTATAAAAAGAAGAGATGAACATAGAGTTCAAAGGAAGGAGTGTTCAAAATAGAGATGAGCTAAAACAGTCTTTTACAATCTTCAATTGGTTATATTTCAATTTCAGGTCTGCATCCCATCTAAAATCGATAAGACTTGTACAGACTTCATGAAACCCCTAAGAACAAGTATTAGTATTGTAAAGCTTTTCCGAACAAATATGGTAACCAGTAAAACTTTTTTTTTTTTTTTGGTTAAGATACAGTATAATATTTTTTGCTATATAGTAAGGTGAACCATTGATCCATCACAAGACGTACAAAACAACAGTGGTTAAAAAAAAATGCCTCTACTAGATAATCTCAATACACAATTCAGCACCAACATTACTGGACAAAAGCCCACCACTTTCCAAAGATGAAAAATAAAGAACTCTGAAATTCTTTAGTTAAAAAAAAAACCTATAAGGATATCAAAAGACAAGCTCTGCCCACAAGAAGGAAATATCTCCTATAATTGCATCCCCCAGAATCCTTTTCCATCCATATTACCCAAAGGGTTGTGTTGTAGATAATCATGCAAAATCTTATAGATATTGCATGATTAAGTGTATAAATCTATAATAGGATATTAGGATTGTAATCAATACGTAATAGGAACAAATCTGTAAAATAGGAGTGTATAAATCTATAATAGGATATTAGGATTGTAATCAATACATATTAGGAACAAATCTATAAAATAGGAAGTTAGATTATTTATTTCCTAGATTAGTTTTTTATTTTCCTATATATTGATGTATAATTTTTCAATACAATATGAAAAATATTACAATCAATTCTCTGTTTGTAACATGGCATCAGAGCAATTCTAGGTTGGTTTTTTTTTTTTTCAATTCATTTTTTTTCTTTTCTGCCCAAGTGGGCATTATTTGTGAGTCACCCTGGAGAGTGGCCATTTTTTTCTCACCGCCTGCCTAGGAAGAAGCCTCGTCTGCCGATCGGCCATTCCCTGAATTCCGGTCACTCATGAAAAGTCTGTTCCTGTCGGAAATGATGGACTTGGGAAAATCATGAAGTTTCACAATCTCTTTCATGAATACTAAGGCCACCTCTTTGGCGGTATATAAGGGTGTGATAAGAGCAGAAAGTGGCCATATTTAGTCAATCGATCAACTACCACCAGAATGCTATCAAACCCCTTAGCCCGCGGAAAACCCCCAATGAAGTCGATTGTTAATTCACCGAATGCCTAAGAAGGAATAGGAAGTGGCTGAAGTAGCCCCGCAAGTTTCAGAGCTGAATGTTTGTTAACTTGACATACGGAGCAAGTTTTAACATATTCTTAGACATCTTTCTTCATGCCTACCCAAGAAGCCACATTTACAACCCTCTTGTATGTCCGAAAGAATCCAGAATGACCCCTTGATGGACTTGAATGAAATTTAGTTATTAATTTATGAACAAACCGTGAGCCCTTAGGCAAAACAAACCTGTCTTTGTACAACAAATAGCCATGGTGGAGTTTGTGGTTGGGTTGGCTATCGGGCTCCAAAATCAAGTCTTGAATCAAATGCCTAAGCTTGGGGTCCTGTTGGGCTTCATTTGCCAAGTCCTCATACTCCACAAACTGGATCACTGACAGAGAAGTTAATTCTGGTTCCTCATCTCGTCTGGAAAATGCGTCAGCTACCTTATTAGTGGTTCTTGGCCAATAATGGATGTCAAACGAAAACCCCATTAATTTGGACAACCATTTCTGCTGTTCCGGAGTTTTAAACCGCTGATCCTTGAGAAATTGGAGGCTTCGCTGATCTGTTCTAATGATAAACTTCCTGCCCAGTAAGGACAGACTCCATTTGTGCACGACGAAGACGACGGCCATCAACTCTCTTTCATAGACCGGTTTTTGTTTAGCTTGAGGGGAGAAGGCCTTACTTAAGTAAGCCATGGGTCTTGCTTGTTGAACTAATACTGCCCCCATACCGTGGCCCGAGGCATCTGTGTGTATCTCAAAAGGAATGTAGAAATCAGGAGCTGCCAGAACTGGAACAGAAGTCATAGCCTCCTTCAATGATTCAAAGGCCTGCTGGGCCTCCAGATCCCAACTAAGAGAGTTTTTCTTTAGCAATCTCGTGAGTGGTTGGGCTATGCTTCCATACCCCTTAACAAATTTGCGGTAGTACCCCGCTAGTCCCAGAAATCCGCAAAGGCTTTTCACATTAGTTGGCGTTGGCCATGAAACCGTAGCTGCAATTTATGGGGGTCTGCTTCCAACCCCGTTAGCCGAAATTAGGTGACCCAAATATTCCAGTTTCTGCTGCCCGAATAAAAACTTCTTAAAATTCACTAATAATTCAATATCGTCCAATATCCGAAGAGCTTGCCGAAGGTGTATGATGTGGGACTCCAAGTCAGGGATGTAGATAAGAATATCGTCAAAAAAAACCAACACAAACTTCCGCAAAACTGGCTTAAAGATACTATTCATTAGTGACTGAAACGTGGAGGGAGCATTGGTCAAGCCGAACGGCATGACAAGGAACTCGTAGTGCCCTTCATGTGTTCGAAAAGCTGTTTTCGAAATATCTGCGTCTTTGATCCTGATTTGGTGGTACCCAGACCGAAGGTCCAACTTAGAGAAGATGGTTGTCCCCGCCAACTCATCCAACAACTCCTCAATGGTAGGAATGGGAAACTTGTAGGGAATTGTTATTTCGTTGAGGGACCTATAGTCAACACAAAACCTGCAACTTTCGTCTTTTTTCTTGACTAACAACACCTGGCTGGCGTACGAGCTGATACTGGGCTGGATAATTCAGGCTACCAACATTTCCTCCACCAACCTTTAAATTTCATTTTTTTTGAAAATACGGGTACCCATAAGGTCTAATGTTAGGGGCTGGGGCACCTTCTTTAAGGGTTATGGCGTGGTCATGAGTACGGTGTGGAGGAAGCTTGGACGGCTGGTCAAAAAGGTTCATATACTGATCCAACACTTCTTTAACTCTAGGATCGACATCCTCGCCCTTAGACATTATACTTCCCTCAATCGAACAGCACTCCACCAGAAACCCTCCCCCTGTGTTATTAATGGATCGAATCATTGATTTCAGGGAAACCACTGACTTCACTAGAGATGGGTCCCCTTGTAAACTAACTCTGACCCCATCCACCTCAAATTTCATGGTCAATTTCTTCCAGTTGGCACACACATCTCTTAAACAACTCAGCCATGTAACACCCAATACAACATCAGCACCGCCTAACTCAAAAGGAAAGAAATCCTATCTAATTCAAACTTCTTGTACCTCCAGAGGAACCTGTCGACACACTCCTTCCCCTTTAACCGTGACTCCATTTCCCACCATACCCCAAACAACTTCCCCTTTTCCACCGCAATACCAAGCCTACACACTAACTCATGTGAAATAAAATTGTGGGACGCCCCACTGTCAACCAACACCACCACATCCATATTCCCAATTTGTCCCTTAACCTTCAAAGTTTTGTCTGACTTTATACCCACAATGGAATTCATGGATAGAGCTAAAGCATTGCTGTCAAGGTTGGAATTTTTGTCACTTTCCAGTGGAGATTCGTCCTTCTCGGAGTCATCGTCTTCCCAAACCAATAGAATCTGTAGTGATTTACTCCTATAGCGATGATTAGGGCTGAACTTTTCATCACAACGGAAGCAAAGTCCCCTCTCCCTCTTGTACTGGATGTCGGCCTCGAACAATCGCCGAAAATTTCCCTTTGTTTCCCCTCGAAAATTTGAATGTCCTATTTCCGGTGCTCTCTCTCTTCTTTCCGGCGCGCAAGATGAAGCGACGTGAGTGGAATCTAGTGGTTTTGTTGAATTGGGCCACCAAGCGGGTCGGGTCTGGTCTCCTGGTTGATTTTATTGGATTGGACCACCACACGGGTCGGGTCAGGTCTGGGCTGCAAGACACTCTTGTATAATTTTCCCTTGCACCTTGGCTTTAAAAAGTTTGGGCCGACATCTTTCCATGACCCAGTTCTTTTCCTCCACCCGATGGGCCTGTTCAATCACATCTTGAAAGGAATTGGGCCTCAACAGTCTCAGCTCAGCTCTAATCTCCTCCTTGAGCCCATTGATAAAGACTCCCATCAACAATTCTTCATCCAAGTCCTTCAACAGTGTCGTATGGGATTCAAACTCTTCCTTGTATTCTGTCACGATGGAAGTTTGCTTCAGCGCCACCAGAGCTTCGTGTGCAGAACCTTGGAACAACGGCCGAAATCTCGTGATTAAAGTTGCCTTGAACTCTTCCCACAACTTGAAAGGTTCTCGCCTATCAACCCATTGGTACCAGTTCAATGCCCTACCCTCCATGCACACCACGGCGGCTTCAACCATCTCCGATGATCCATATCTGTTAATGGCAAAGTAGCAATCTGCTAGGAATGTCCACCCAAATGGATCCTCTCCATTGAAGATTGGAAGCTCAAGTTTCCTGCCCTTCTGCTCCTCTTTCCCACTATCTCCATTATTTTCTCGCCCCTGTTCTCGAGCGAAACCGGAATCCCGATTCTCGGAGGTCAACGGTGTCTTCTCTTTTTCGTGATAACGTTTCTCACCCTCTCATCCCTCATCCTCATTAACTCTCTCATCTCGGTCAGGTACTCTTTAAGGCTACCCACATCAGTCTTCACTGAACTCATGTCCTCCTTCACTGACTTCATCTCTTTTTCCATATTTTCCATCCTGTTCTCCATCTTCGATTTGACCATTCCCCAACGTGGGACCTGTTGGTTACCTAGCCCTGATACTAAACAGATGGAACTCCCCTGTAAAACAGATCAACCACAACCGCAACACAACACAATAACAGATAATATGCACAGTTTGAAGGAAATAAAAATAGTATTAACCAGGATTGAATTATCCCTTAGCAGAACCAATTCACTCATGAACAGTTTCCCAGCAGTTCAAGGAGTTGGGGGCCTCCCAACCAGTCCTAAGAAGATATTCCTTGATAAAAAGACCTACCTCGCACTCTTCTCTCTATATAATAATTATTCTATTCTGTAACCACTTATCAGCCATGTGTACTTTCTTATAACAAACTCACCACACTCCTAACAAACTCACCCTCATTGCACCCTTAATGCCGATTCCTAACCCTGCCCTTTGATTTATAAACCTTGTGTATGGGTGGTCTAACAAACACTAACCCAAGAGACCTTTAGGAAGAAAACATATGAGCAGTTGCAAAATAAAATAATAAAACCATCATGTTTAAATGAGAATCCAAATAAACAACAAAATACCTCTCCTTCAACAATTATATCTACCATCCTTGGAGGGATTATAATGTCTTCAACAAATTTTGCTAGTTTTGACTCTGCCACCTATTCAAAGAATATAACCAATTACCACATATATTCAGAAGATGGAAATGCATGAGAAAAAAATAATAGTATTGACCTAGTGGCATAAAAATCATTTCCCTTAATGAGCAACAAACATNGCCACCAGAGCTTCGTGTGCAGAACCTTGGAACAACGGCCGAAATCTCGTGATTAAAGTTGCCTTGAACTCTTCCCACAACTTGAAAGGTTCTCGCCTATCAACCCATTGGTACCAGTTCAATGCCCTACCCTCCATGCACACCACGGCGGCTTCAACCATCTCCGATGATCCATATCTGTTAATGGCAAAGTAGCAATCTGCTAGGAATGTCCACCCAAATGGATCCTCTCCATTGAAGATTGGAAGCTCAAGTTTCCTGCCCTTCTGCTCCTCTTTCCCACTATCTCCATTATTTTCTCGCCCCTGTTCTCGAGCGAAACCGGAATCCCGATTCTCGGAGGTCAACGGTGTCTTCTCTTTTTCGTGATAACGTTTCTCACCCTCTCATCCCTCATCCTCATTAACTCTCTCATCTCGGTCAGGTACTCTTTAAGGCTACCCACATCAGTCTTCACTGAACTCATGTCCTCCTTCACTGACTTCATCTCTTTTTCCATATTTTCCATCCTGTTCTCCATCTTCGATTTGACCATTCCCCAACGTGGGACCTGTTGGTTACCTAGCCCTGATACTAAACAGATGGAACTCCCCTGTAAAACAGATCAACCACAACCGCAACACAACACAATAACAGATAATATGCACAGTTTGAAGGAAATAAAAATAGTATTAACCAGGATTGAATTATCCCTTAGCAGAACCAATTCACTCATGAACAGTTTCCCAGCAGTTCAAGGAGTTGGGGGCCTCCCAACCAGTCCTAAGAAGATATTCCTTGATAAAAAGACCTACCTCGCACTCTTCTCTCTATATAATAATTATTCTATTCTGTAACCACTTATCAGCCATGTGTACTTTCTTATAACAAACTCACCACACTCCTAACAAACTCACCCTCATTGCACCCTTAATGCCGATTCCTAACCCTGCCCTTTGATTTATAAACCTTGTGTATGGGTGGTCTAACAAACACTAACCCAAGAGACCTTTAGGAAGAAAACATATGAGCAGTTGCAAAATAAAATAATAAAACCATCATGTTTAAATGAGAATCCAAATAAACAACAAAATACCTCTCCTTCAACAATTATATCTACCATCCTTGGAGGGATTATAATGTCTTCAACAAATTTTGCTAGTTTTGACTCTGCCACCTATTCAAAGAATATAACCAATTACCACATATATTCAGAAGATGGAAATGCATGAGAAAAAAATAATAGTATTGACCTAGTGGCATAAAAATCATTTCCCTTAATGAGCAACAAACATTTAAGAAATTGAAACATAAGGTGCATATGAGAACAACAATTAAAAATTAGTTTTGTATCCTAGTCAGTCCACATGTTGATAATCCACATGGCAATTGCTTTCTAATCAAAACAACCAAATAAAATATCAACACTTTCTTTGCAAATTCACATGAAATAATTTATTGTAAGAGTCAAAAAATACTTAAGAGGTCCCCCTATTAATCCCACCATATAAAAACAACACCTTTTGGATGTCATATACAAATTTTTTTTTTAAATTTTTTTTAGAAGAAAGAAACAAAGAGAACTATGGATCGAAACATTAATGACAGAAGAGTGAACAAATTGTCCACAAAAGTTAGGGTCCATTTAGAAGATCACAAAAAATAAAACAAAAAAACTATACAACAGAATGAGAAGCTCAAACAAAGCTCAGGACAATTCAAATATCAAATTAACCCAAAACCCCTTCCCATTGATTATCTTTCTTAATAAAGTACTTCAAAAGCCTAGGTTCTTTTTGTAGAACTACTGATGCTGTAACTTAATTAACTATCTGACAAGCAGCATATTCTCAAAAATGATACTCATAGGCATAGAATCGTCCATGTTCACCCCACACACACCAAGAAAAGGAAAAAAGGTAGGCACAAATATTTTAATAATAGAAGGAAAAGGTTAATATTCCCAATACAGAAAAAATCCTTCCAACTGGACAGGCCACTGATGGACCCAAAATACATAGCTGGTACTCACGCAAGACAGGCAAGGGAAGGCAAGGGCAAAAGGGGTAAATCATCGAGGACAGGTGTCCTCTTAGTTGTTAGGATTCAGTGTCAGAATAAAGGGGTAGTGGTACCACAGAGGAGGGACATGATTTTTGTTGCATGAATTGAGTGTGGGAGATGCTGGCCCTCGAAGACCAGCTGGTGTTATTGTTATACTGTTTCATTCATACAAACCCATTGTTCCCTTAACTCTCTATTATTATCAATATACCATTTCCATTATTTTGAGCTGTGTGTTGGATTGATGCTGGAATACTGTTGAATGTGTGTTTGGTTAGTTCTTGTTAGAAACCATGTTTATATATACAGTGTAAAGGGTAAAGGGTATACTTGTAATTATATTAGTGTGTNAAACGTCCATGTTCACCCCACACACACCAAGAAAAGGAAAAAAGGTAGGCCCAAATATTTTAATAATAAACGGAAAAGGTTAATATTCCCAATACAGAAAAATTCCTTCGAACTGGACAGGCCACCCACTGAAAAGTTTAGCTAGACCACCTAAAACAATTCTTTGAGCAACATCTTCCTTAGAGAGCACATATGATTAACAAAAGTCTGAGGACAAAACTAATTTTATTATAATAACAGAATTAGATGTCGCTCCTTGACAACAATCAAAACCTCCATTAAGATTAAGATAACAGCAGAATTTTCTGGGATACAAAACTTCCCCAATAGAAACCATACCTTGCGATTCTTCAGCTTCAAACCCAAATCCATTGACTTCTCCTGGAGTATTTTTATGTCTAAACTTATAGAACCAATCTCAGACTGGAACAAAATGCCTAAAAATGTTAGTACTCCTGATCATACAAGATCCAATTAAAACAAAGAACAACTAAACAACATTACCAAGACAACTAAAAAGCTTAGCAACAAACTGTAAACACCAAGAAACCAATTTGAATAAATTGATGTAAGCAAAGAAGAATGAATGAGAGAGGATAATATTTGAAATATTCCTGACTGTTCTTATCCAAATAAATGAATAAACCCTCTTATGTGCGATTCTCATATGATAATAATGCTTGTATCAAGGACCATTATTTTGGTATCATGTATGATACCATTGAATTCATATCTTGGGAGGGCTAAATTAGTAGACGGTCCTTTTCAGCATTTTTGTGTAAAGTGGATGCTCTCAGAACTTGAACTATGTATGTGACATTTAGCAGTGACCTTTGCTATTGCGACAGGCTTTTACCACTAGTCATGGGTATTGTGATATAAACAGAAAGTAAGACCATATTTTTTAAAACTTCTTTCTTCAAGCAGCAGCAAATATGAAGCTAGTAGAGCTATCAGCTTATACCAAGCAATTCTAGAAATAGCATGTCATTGCTGATATGTCTTTGTGTGTCCTACAAAGTCCCTAACCTCCTAATTTTATTGTATGGAATAAGTCAACAGCTATGACAGCAATAAGTATTTTAGCATCCAGCATTCGTTGTTACACAGATTCCTGTCAAGAACTCAACAAAGAAAATTTTAGCTTGCTCCTTTCCTCCTCAACTTGATAACAATGTGCAATCCATGACAAGTTCTACTACTAAAAACAGTTGACCGTATTGCACAACTTTATTATCACTTTTTCAGTTGCAAAGTTATATAAATAAGCATCAACTACTACATGAGAGTGTTCCATACAGCACTTACGAAATAAAGGTCAAACAGGAGCTTTAAATCACAACATTGGGAACAATACATAATGTTATCAGTCATATATAATTCTTAAACTTTAGAACTTTACTATTCATTGAACTAGCAACTAGTAAATACTAAACATTCCTTAAAAGTGTAACTGTGATACCTTTTATCAACAGAACAAATAAAAGATGTCATCTCAAGACAAATGAATGCAAGTTTTTCTGGCTTGCCCAGCAAGAAAAGACATACCTGAAAACCACTGAGAAGAGTCTCCATCTGTGACAGTGGCATCGCCATCACGAATTTGATCATGAAGGGACACCAAGTTATCACTTCTTTAATATAATCCTGCAGCATTGAAAAAGTTTTAGCATCAATCAATAATAATTCATAAAAGAAAAAAGAATAAAAAGTAAGATACAAGAAGATGATTAAAGAGCATCTCAGCTATACATAACCCTCACTGCGTGAGAGGACAACACAAAAATCGAAGATAAGGCACAAAGGCAAAAATTGATTCAATACAATTTTTTATACAAACATAAGATAAAACAACTGAAGTACTTTTGTTTAAAAAAATAAAAATAAAGCAATTGAAGTACTTGATCTTATTAATTGACACCACAGCATTACATACAAAGCATCTCAGCAAAGAAAAATAACCACGAAACCTGAATAGAATCAACCTCAACTTGCCGTAGATCATTCTCAACCCCCTTCATGTACTCCCTTAGTGTTGTACCTTTAGACAATATGTTTTCAACTACCCATATGAACACTTAGACACATACATTAAGGTATAAAATATGAAGTTTAGCAGAAAAATTGTGGAAACAAATATAAAATATTAAGGACAGGATAGTGCACATACTTCATGTGGCAAGTACAAGAAGATCATATAGTATGCAGACTCCAAACCAAAGTACCAGATAATCAAAAATGTAATCCAGACACTTTATTCCTTTTTACTGATAAGTACTCTCAAATTGCTTAAAAGAATTAACTAGATAGTGCAATCTGTCGCTTCCTGTGATACTCATTTAACAATTTAATTTTATACTAACATCTGAATCACTTTGTTCTCCAAATACTCAAACACTAGAGGTAAAATTTCACCTCTGAGGAACAAGACAACCTTGATTTAACAAACATCAGAGATTATCTCTATCATACATCAAGATATCACAATTTTCCACTAGTGTTTTCAACACAATAATCGTCATGACAGAAGCCAAGAAGCAGTATGAACTCATAGATCTAATCTATGTAGCCTAATGTACAAACTTACACCATGTCGACTCAAGGAGTCACACACATTAAAGAATTAGAACACCCACCCTACTTTCACTTGTTGTTATCCTCAAACAGCAAATCCTATCTCAAACAGTAAGTTATAAATACAATGCTACCTTACGTAGTTCCCCATATAACAACTACAGATGCAAAAACCACAAAAACAAGACTATAGCTTCATAAAAAAAAAACACAAAATTTACTCACATCATAGTTTTTACATTCTTCAAGCTCCTTCTAAAGTCCTTCCAATGTCATCACTGCCAAAAACAGCAACAGCAATCAACATCTTCACAATAAAATACCTAGTAGTCTGAACAAAAATACAAGACAGTTTACAACCCTTCTCTTACAGTTAAATGCACTCTCCATGACCTATCCCACAAACTTTTCCTAAGAATCTTCTAAGCAATAATCTCTAAAAAGGAAAGAAAATAAATTTATTTTCCAGGTTTACAAATTAAATTCAGTTAGCATCACTACATGATGGAAAGAGAGTGACACTTTTGGTCACCGGCAAAGGCTTCCAAAGGTGACCCTCTCAAGTTTCCAGCTATTTCCAAGATTTCAACACCTCAATCAACTCACCCAGAGAACTTACAATCACCCACCATTTGTTTCTTTATTTTAAGTTACTTTACCAACTAATTTTACACAAACATTCAAGAAAACTTGAGAATAGTCAAATTCTCTAAAACACATACCACACCTTAAACAAATCAACGAACAAAGTTCTACATAAATTATACAAAAAGCTTCCACAATTCTTAACTTACCCACTTGCATCTTCCTCAAAAGTCAAGTCCCCCACAAATGCACCTAAATCAAACACAATTTTCTGGGCATCATTTGCATCACCAAAAGAACCACCCTACATACAATAAAATTTTCATGTTTAAAATCCCAACAAAAGCAAACTATCCAATTTCTCAATAAGGGCAAAGAAATTAACACTTCACAAATAAAAATTACCACTTGGTTTGCCACAACATTCGCCATCTTCAGATGCGCACAACAGCTTTACCTGCACAAATTTTAAAAAAAAATTCAAAAGAACTTCAAAATTAAGCGAAAAAAAAAAAAACCATATAATAAGATTGGATATTCGTTTAATTGCTTGTTTACCTAGAATCGAAACGAATTCACGTTCAAAATCTGTCCATTGCTTGTACTGCTGTGGATATTGCAGTGAAGGCGCAGCTATGGTACCAGAATTGTAAGTGCCAATTGCCTCTGTAGGATAGTTTGAGTATTGATGAGAATTATAATTTTCATAACTGCCTTCATTCCATGAGTTCGTCTGATTATTGTAACCGCTACTTGGATAACTTCCAGCTTTTTGATAATCACCAAGATGGTAGTAAGCGCCTGAATAACTTGCAGGACCAGGATAAGACCCTGAATTCAGAAACAAAGAAATAGGCTGATGAGGAGCACCTGTATTTTGATATGCTCCTACGGGTTGGGAGTATGAATGGTTAGGTTGCTGCTGATAGCTGCTATAGTAACCTGGGTATCCTGTGTTTCCATAACTATATGGATTACTAGAATTCGAGTACAGTGTATAGCCAGCCAATGTAATCTTGTGATACAGCAGTTGCTCCTAAACTTGATGAACTTGCTACAGATGTCGCATTTTCTCCATCTTGAACATTCCTTACAAGTGGTTCTGTGTGATGCTCATGGTGATAAGTGGAATTTGGAAGAATCCCATTCTCTAAGGAGCGATTATCCACACCATGCATATTCCATGACACAACTCCAGATGCAGTTGTTGAGGGAAGATATGATGTTTGTCATTGGCATCAACAACATAACAATTCTGAAAAAAATAAAAGAAAATATTATTAACATGAAAGCATAATAGCCAAACAAAATATAGCAAAAGCTGAAAGTCACTCAGCTGGAGATATATAAGGGCTTTGTATGTACTGTGAATATAAAGATAAAGACACTAAATTAATAACAAGATGCAATAAGTACAAATTATTAACAAACCACCTACAGCGCTCAATGAAAAGGCTCTTACTTAAAGATTAATACACCCAGAATGTTGTGTGTTATAATAGCCTAATCATATATTATATGTTTTTAAACGAAACAGGTAGTGTGTGGTCGTTATGTAAATTGGTAAGAATGTAAAAATTGCAAATCAGATTTAATAAGTTTACTTATTGGAGCTAATTATCAGGTAAAGGGGCAGTAACATCCATACAAGTAATCTACTAGGTTGGAAGAGTGGATGTAATTATTTATAGTGGTTTCAGGTAGTTTTCAAGGATTAATTTAGTATGCAACTCATCTTATTCCATTATGCTTCATTCCCTTCACGATGAAAACAAACAGCTATACTCATTTTCATACAGTATTACATACATAAGCAGAGTTCACTTAGACATGAGACAGAAGCAAGAGCTCTTTAACTTGACATAAGTAGTCTAAGAAAAATGAAACCTGAAGATATGTAAAATAGGCAACCTTTTTCATATATCCAACTTGGATCCAAGAAGAAACTGAATTCGGCTAAAGTTCTGAACCAAATAATTATTGCTCCCCTCCACTAGAATCAAAAACTGAAAATACAAGGGATGAACAATTAGAATAATGCTGTGAACTTCAGTACATTGATAGAGTGAATTGCAATTCTATTATAAATCAATCAGAGCAACTAAATCAACAATTTTTCCTTCCTACTACACACTGCTACAAATTTGCTAAAGAACGCCACAAACTGAAAACCAAATTAATACATCAACATCCACTACTATTTACTTCTAGCTAAGATAACCACACACTTCTTTTCTTCTTCTTTATTATAACCCAGAAATGCTCAACAAACTTCAATTCAAAACCTGTGCCCCATTCAAACCCTACATTCTACATTCTAAGAAAAGCATATAATCGCAGAAACAATGCATTATAATCTAATTCTAATTGATTTATCCGCTAGATCAACAAATTTTATTTTTGAACATATAAACAGTAATAAAAGCTACAAATTCTACTAAACATATTGCAGCTATCAATTTAACAATAACATAAACAAAATTTCTACTGGTTTATACAACACAATTCATCCATTCAAATTAAAACCATGAAATAAAAATAAAAAAAAAATAATTACCTCAACCAAATTAGGGTCAAGTGAAGCCATGGTTTGAGTATTGCCTCCTTGATTCATCATCTCATTAACATCCTAATTTTAGTTCATTGTAAAAAAATTATATAACAAGGCCAAAACCCTAAATACGAAACTGAACAACTCTTAACCTTCCAAAATAAAACTAAAAAACCCACAGATCTTGGGATCAAAAAACCCAAAGATCAGAAAGAGCCGTCGGAGGCTGCGGAGAAAGTTTGAAAGAGTGTTGAGAAAACAGAGGAAAAACATGGTTTACTAATAAATAAAAGTAAAGAACGAATTCTTTTCTATCAATTTATTTAGTTGAAGAATTATTCCGTTTTTTATTTTTATTAATTAATAGAATTATTCTGTTATATTGTGAGTGCATTAACTTACCCACTTGCATCTTCTTCAAAAGTCAAGTCCCCCACAAATGCCCCTGAATCAAACACATTTTTCTGGGCATCACCAAAAGAACCGTCCTACATACAATAAAATTTTCATATTTAAAATCCCAACAAAAGCAAACTATCCAATTTCTCAATAAAGGCAAAGCAAATAACACTTGACAAATAAAAATTACCACCACAACATTCGCCATCTTCAGACGCGCACGACAGCTTCACCTGCACAAATTTTAAAAAAATTTCAAGAGAACTTCAAAATTAAGTGAAAAAAAAAAAAAAAACCGTATAATAAGATTGGATATTTGTTTAATTGCTTGTTTATCCAGGATCGGCGTACAAAATATGTTCATTGCTTGGAATGTTGTGGATATTGCAGTGAAGGCGCAGCTGTGTAGTACCAGAATTGTAAAAAACCCAAAGATCTTGGGATCAAAAATTCCAAAGATCAGAAAGAGCCGTTGTCGATCTTGGGATCAAAAGAGCCGTTTGAGGAGAAAGTTTGAAAAAGTGCAGAGAAAACAGAGGAAAAACACGGTTTACCAATAGATAAAAAGTAGAGAATGAATTCTTTCTATCAATTTATTTAGTTGAAGAATTATTCTGTTTTTACTTTTATTAATTAATAGAATTATTCTGTTAAATTGTGAATGCATTAAATGGTCATGTGAAGGGGCAGAGTCAAGTTGTATAAATAAAATAACAACATCTTTATTAATTAATAGAATTATTCTCTTATATTGTATTAATATTTGCAGACATTTCTACGAACACAGAGTTAGAGAAGGATTATGGATGTGAAGTTATCTCACGCATTTCTTCAAACATAAATGGAAAGAATTTAATATTCATATAATAAATAGATAAATAAATAATTGATAAAAGCTTAATTTCATTCATAGAACATATCGATCTGCTTCTTAACGTTCTCCATATAAGTATTAAACTTTTGCATTTTTTTTTTTAAAGTACAGATATGACGAACGGGTGATGGTACGCTGTGGAATATTAGCAATGGTTTGGTTAAAGATGATTTTCGAAGCCCAAATTAGGCCCAGTCCAAAAATATATGGACAGCCCAATATTAGCCCAAACGCAGAAATATTATTATTATTTCCTTGCTCATCTCTTATGCCACAAGCATATAAAATTAAATACTTTGGTGTATGATATTTTTTTATTGTGATGATATTTATGTGAAGATGTCATGAATTTTTTGTAGGACTTACTTAATAATCATATGATTTTGGTCATTAATATTATAATTACATCATTTTTGTGTAGATGTTTAGTCCCTCATATATTATCTTTCAAAAGTTTAGCCTATAAAAATGTTTTGACACAGAATGTCTTGATAAACTCCATTTACTTCTAAATATACTATTTTATTTATATTTTTAATATTTTTTATGCTTCTTGTTTTGAATGTATCATTTAATCTAATTACCAAGCAGGCAGATTAAAAGATATTCAAACATGAAATTCGTTCACATGAATACTACTTTCAAGATTAAAAAAAATAAAAATAAAAATAAATAAATAGCATAAGAATTTGAATACTTCAAACTAACTTACAAATTTTAGGAAAAGTATGAAAGAATAAAAAAGTAAAGAAAAATTAATAAAACAACTTATGATTACAAATCATAAATTCCATCTCCATTTCACTTATATGATCTTGATTAAACTTTCAATGATATAAATTAAATTTTCATTGTTTGAAAATAAAATTAGGGTTAATTGAATTAAGGTTTATGATTGAAAGAGGAAATAAAACTTTTAAATACCTATAACTCGTTTACGTCTTTCTAAGTAATTTTAATAAAAGATAAAATTGTAATTAAAAATTTAACAATAATTGGGACCAAAAGAGATAAAATATGGGAGGCTAATGCCTAATAGTACTCTGAAATAATTCATTTATCACAGATCTAGACAAAATTACACATAATGTTACAGAATTTGAATTTCTTCTCCCAAAGAAAATGCTAATGGGAACCAGAACAACTATGTTATGTGTTATTGTTAGGATCCCACATGGAAAGAGAAAATAGTGGGCATGTGGGTTATAAAGGCTTAGGCACCCTCCCTTAGCAAGTCGGTTTTCCAAGGAGAGTTCTACCCAAGCCCATGAAAGACTCATGTCTCAACTCAAATTGTTGAGTTATTGGAGTGGGTTATTATCAATTGGTATCAGAGCATGATCCTGCGCCTATGTGGCAGCGCACGCGTGGCAGGCTGACCCATGGCCCAAGCTGCTACCCCAAAAAAGGGCATGGAGGCCCGAGGGCAAAGAGATCGACGTAGTCACCCAAGGGGTAAAGAGGCCGATGGGGGTAAAGTGGCCGACGTGGACGTCGGTTGCAGAAGCATGGTGGAATGTTAGGATCCCACATTGAAAGGGAAAATGGTGGGCATGTGGGTTATAAAGGCTTAGGCACCCTCCCTTAGCAAGTCGGTTTTCCAAGTAGAGTTCTACCTAAGCCCATGAAAGACCCATGGCCCAACCCAAATTGTTGAGTCATTGGAGTGGGTTCTTATCAGTTACCACCAGAAGCCATCTTGTAACTTTGCTCCCATGTATCCACTGGCGCCGCTTGTGCGTGCGGGACATGACAAGGATGTTTCTCTCTCTTGTCACCCTTTATCTGCTTCAATGCATGTTCAAGGGCCGGCAACAAAGCCTCCATGCATTCAGCAACCGCATTCGGATTCCCAGGCATGTTAATGATCTGAGTACACAAAATAAGCAGAATGCCATTGTAAAATGTTCAGATTAGTAACATTAAAGAATTGATGTTGATTATATGTACAACATATAATAACCATACACAACATGGCAAAAGATGATGGCAGGTCACTGATATAATGCAATTATAAAAGCCTTTAAGAAAAAAGAGGAAAAAAAAAAAAAAAAAAAACTCATGATGAGCATCCTTCACACTACAATATCTATGGGTAACAATAGCATAACAATATCACAGCTTACCAATGTTGACCCTATAATCCCTGCAGCAGAGCGCGAGAGCATAGCAAATGGTGTCACCTGTTTTAGACAATAGAGAGGAAGAAAGAATTCTTACTCATGAGAACGGCATTCAGTAGAAGCCCAAATAAACAGTGCAGAAAATATATATTCAACAATGATAACAAACAGGAAAGTGACCATGAATTAATGAGGGGTGTGCAGCACAGTGCATAAAATGAATGTACAATGAAGGGGTTTAGCTAAAGGCCCTATCAAAATACACCAATAGAAAAAAGATTTATTAGTATGCAGAAAATCTTCCATGAAACTGGTTAGATCAACATAAATAAAATAGGCATACTGTCAGCATGTAACAGCCACTGATTTGCACACATAGAAGCCAAGAAACTTTCATGGAAAACTGATTGAATGATCCCAATTCGAGATAATGAGGAAAAAAATGGCATTAAGAAAAGTTTAAACATTAAGGGCTAGAAAGATAAACCTAACAGATGATGCACCATACCTAGAATTCAAATATATGACTTTACTATCTCTTACCAGATTTAATATTAATACTTATAAACTTAACTGGAAAAATGGCTAAGACTTTGAAATTTAAACAAACAGGAGATATGACATTCAAGAAGACAACAGAGATACATCTAAATAGTCATTTTGAACTTCAAACTTGCAGTAGTACATGGTAAATTAAAGGAGTGCATGTTGGCATACAACTAAGGACTAAACCGTCAGTAATTTGAATCAAATGAATTTTGCTTGAACTTCTACTGACTCCCCAAAAATTACTTCAATGTTAAAGTGACAATTCCACAACAATTACACAGTTACTTACAAAACACTTTTATCAATCAAGACATAATCATATGTAGAAAAGTTCAAATTGTTACACAACAAGCTATGATGTATTAACTAATAACTTCCAAAAAAATATTGTTGGTACCTTTAAACTCTCTGGCATCATTACATACAAAAGATCAGGTGTTTCCCTCTGAACCAACTCTTTTGTAGCTTTAGGGGTAACGTCTCTTGGGTTGAAGCCAGTGCCACCTTGTTCAAAATATATTCAAAAAAGAGAAGGAAAAGGTTAGGATAACCCAAAAAACAAATTCACCCACAGAATTTAACTAGCTGAATACAATCTGAAACTTACCAAGGGGAAGAATGAGATCCATTCTGTCAATATCAGACCATCTCTGGACAACATCTTTGATTTTCACTACATCATCTGGGACTACAACTATTGCAACTACCCTCACTCCACCTAACCTTTATGATGAGGAATTTACAACAGAAACAGCTCTAGGCCCACTGAAAATTAAATGTGTTCAATATCATTTACTATCAAAATGCAATGCAGAAACAGAAAGATAAAAGTAGGAGACATTTTTCTTATTTTTCTAATAATTTGAACTAAATGGAAATCCATTGTTCACTGAGAACTAAACCAAAGTTTCTGCATCGTTCTACTATGCATGTCTAGCATATTAAATTTAAGAAGTGTACAACATTTTTCATGAATCAGTTAATCGGCCATGGCTTACACAACCAAAGGCCTTTAGTAAAATGGTCATTAATGCTTTCAAAAAGATTTCAAGCGTGGTCAATTCTTCAAATAGTCAAGCATTACAAAAAAAGATAGTTCTAGAGTGTTATCAGTTTATTTATAGCCCAATGCTCACAAAGAAGTTGTAATACTAGCACAACAGAAGCAAAAATAAGAAAGAACACCACCAAGATGACTTGATGATTGCCATACTATTTCCAGAATACTGTTGCATAGCACTTAGTACTTTCCATTTTTCGCTTTAACAAGGAGTAATATCAACTTGGCTTTTTAATATGGCATTGAGTAAGTGACCCTTCTAAAACAATGATTCAGAAAGGTGTATCCAAAAGCTATTAAGTTTAGGTAATAATCTTCACATTCCCAATTAAGGACAACTTAGAGAAGATGATCCGAAAGATTGAGTCATCCTAGGACAAAGATATAATCATCCACTGTTTGCTATATATTGCTCCATATCTAACTCATATAAGGTAGAACATTAACTCTGCTCTATCACTATAGCATCCATAAAGATTTTTAAACCTACTGAGCCAAAAAGGTGTACCTAGATGTCTTTTCTTTGTTTTGTTTTTTAACATATCTAAACTGGATGGATGAATAAATATATAGACACACAAAGCATTAAAAAAGGATGTAAAAGAGAGAGACAGAGAGCACGCATATACACATATTTAGTACCTTCGATCAAGCCCAGTTGCCAATGCAACTATATCACTTACTGTGAGAATAGCTACTTTGAAAGTGTCCTCAGAAACTGATGAAACAACCCGATATGTGGTATACAGTAAGAAAGCCAAGGGAGGCAAGCAAGGGAATTTGGGCTATAACAAGAAAGATTCCAAAGGGTGAGCTGTTAGATGAGCTATAGGAATTGGTTATGAGATGAACAGATGGCAGTAAAGGAGGGGATAAAGGAATAATTTTGTTAGGGGAAAGAGTGAATAAAAAAGGGAGGCAATTGAGAGAATGATCACAAAGAAATTCATAAG